CTTGGATAGATCAACACCCTGCGTCTCTAGGCTCTAGCTCAGTTATTGCCCAGGTATGGGGTATATACCGTACGACGGCACCGCCCGGGGTTTAGCTGGGAGGCTACCATACCCTGGTAAGTGACAAACCCCTGCTGCCACAAACTTTTTCCAACGAGCACGAGAGCCTCCTCGTGTGAAGACGAACGCCAGTTCTTCAGCTAGAGAGTGCTCAAACCGGAATAGAATAGAGAAATGCCAACGTTGAATTGAGTCCTTCTGATCATATCATATCATGGCAATTTCATCATTTCTAGTGGCAGCACCTTTTTTCTCTTTCTTTTTCTTACCGTAGCACCGAGACTGTTTGATACCAGCCATCTCGACATCTTTTTTACGATATATCACAAACTAACAAAAAACTCTCTCTCGCTTCTCCAAAGATGATCGTTGCTCGCACGTTTGCACAGTTGCACTCGCGTATTCTCTCTCCCAAACATCCTAGTGATTCAGCATCTACACTCACGAATTCCTCCGAGACGGTCCTGGTCTTTGCTCTCGGGCCTCCGACATCCTCCAACCTTAGATCCAACAGATGAACAGGGTATCTGTGAATCGACGATCCTGCAAAAACTGGAGAGGGACGACTCTCGTCATAGTTACTCCTCTAAGATACATACTCGCATAGATACTCGCATACATATGAACACATAGGCCCAGACATGCATCATACAGATATGGATCTCGCCGTCGGCCGAATACAATATGCACGAAAGAGGCTCTTCCCCACAAACCTCGTCTGTTTCCATATTCTGCAGCTTCTCCATCATCAAATAGAAGGCTACGAATATCATATCCCCTCAGCCTCTCTCTTTTCCTATTTGCTAATCCAAGCGAAATATGCAGCCACATCAGTTCATAGCCGCACCAAAGGAAGAACACCAACACAACGAGACAACAGCAGAGACACCAAAGCTAATCGCGGGCCGCCGTGTTCGGTTCGTCAGTTATCATATTAAATCAGTTTGCAGCCGAGTCATTAGTGTCGCACACAAACAAGATGAGCATCCCACTATTAAAAAGCCATTGATGTACGATAACGGAAACGGCTGTGAAAAGGAAATATCGTCATTATACAGGCGCCACGCATGAGATAAAATATTTTCGTCAATGCTCGCAAGGTACGTAATTGGTAGTAGAAATACATAGTAAGCTCTTGGCGTTGGGAGCTTTGTAATGACTCTAGCTTGAATCGCTCACTAGTACATCCTCGCTATTCTCTTGAGCTTCATGTACTTCCAGCAGCATAACTCAACAACGTAGTAAAGCATTTCATTGTTTCAATGTGTCAAAGTTCAACGCCTGTCTTGGGGCGTTATCATGAAACTGAAAACCTCCGCAAAATGTCTTAGCATCGCAGATCATAGAAACTCAAAACTGATTCCATCCCAGGTTCACCTTGTTTCTCTCTGTCTCTTCATATCCCGGTCCGTGGGCATGAATATTTGTTTCTTTTTCTCAGTGTCTCGGACCCGACCCGTTTCCTTTGTCCTCAAGCCGAGCCGTTAGCTTTCTTCACCATGTCTCACACACCCTCCTCTTCTCTTGTCCTTGACATTCATTAGCTCGAGAACCAACTTTGCTTTTTCCACACTCGGCTCCAACACTTCCCGTTCTGACCTTTTTCGCCGCCAAATTTAGCTCTCACTTTGCTTATTCTGAAAACTCAACCTCCTTTCTTTGTAACCGTCAAACGTGGTAGACACGTTTCCTTCTCTTCCCGTTCCGTTCACTTCTCGCCGTGTTCCTGCATTACCTCGTGTCCTCCACGTGTAGTGTCTCCACGCTTCTCAGCTGTATGTTAATTTGCTGTACACCCTCTTCTTTTCAGCTTTGCTCGGTCCTCTTGGGAAGTGGTTGTTGGTGGGATTCGTTACTCTATTCGAACCGGTGTGGCGTTGGCGTCGGACGCCGGAGAGGCTTCGCATTGTCCTCGCTCGTTGTCGTGAGAAAACAAGGAATCGGGAGTTGAACACGGATAATCGCAGTATACGCATGCAATACTACACCAAGTTTCTTTCAGTCGTCTAACAATGGCATCAACTCCCAGCCATGTGTCGTTGGTTGAAACAGCGAGGCCAGCAACGAGATACCCTATCTCATTTGACCATTCGTAGCACGCATCACATATGATATCCCAAAAAAGATGTATCAGTTTGCTTCAAAAGTTTCATTTCTCATTAGCAACCAGCAAATGATCCTGGTACTCCGTATTAATTCGTACACGTCAAGTAATCTGCCAACTCAAAATCACACACGCTCCAGATCCCTTCCCCGTCCCGTGAGATTCTGGATAGGGGATTCCATGTCTGAAAAAGCAAATTTTCCCTGTTGTAACCCATCACCGTCGCCATCATCTCCTTCGCTTCGCTTACCTACCCACCCGGATAACGCCAGCAGCGATCAGCTTCTGGATCTTGGACCGCACACCAGGGTTTCTCATATGCTCCTGAAGAGCAGCGGGATCCGACTGGGCCTGCTGGAGGATCGATTGCATCACGGGGTCTTGCATGAGTCCCATGATCTAAATATGTCAGTAACCGTTTCAGCCATTGAGTAACGGTGGGTAATCTTACCTCGGGGTCCTTCATCAGACGCTCTCGGGTCTGCTCTTCCGTCTCGTTATCACGGGCAGAGTACATGGCCGAGAAGGCCTTCTGCTGCTGTTGCTCGATCTCGCGGGCGTTAGCACCGTTGTGGTGCTCCTGGTCAACGCGTTGAGCCTCAGTGCAGGCGTCCACACATTCCGAGTACTTGCGCATGCCGAAGTAGGCCTGCGCCTTGCGGATGTAAGCTCGGATGAAGGTAGGGTCCTTCTTGATAGCCATGTCACAGTCCTCGAGAGCACTGGGGAACTCGAAGAGCTTGACAAAGGCAGCGGCTCGGTTGCTGTAACCACGAGGGTCATCGGGAGCTCGCTTGGTCATCTCTGTGTAGGCAGCAACGGCACCAGGGAAATCCATTTCCTTGAACTTCTTGTTGCCCTCCTCACGAGCCTCCTCAGCCTTGGCAGGGTCGATGTAGGCCTTCTTACCAGCCTCAGTCTTGGCACGCTCAGCAGAGCGGAGCTTGTTGAGGACATCAGGCGTTCGGTGCTCGGTAAGGGACCTGTTGTAGTTCTCGACCGCCTTCTCCAAGTCTCCCTTGCGCTCATAAGATGTACCGATACGGGCGTAACTCTTAGCAATGAGCTTGAAGTCAGCGTAGATCTCACGTCCCTCCTCAACGGCCTTGGTGCAGGCCTCGATGGCCTTGTCGTAGTCACCCTTCTCGAAATAAGCAGCTCCCAAGTTGTTTAGGTAAGTGATATCCTTGAAGGTCTCCCAGGCCTTGGTGTAGTGTGCAATAGCCTCGTCAAAGTTGCGCTTCTTATAGTTCTCGGTGCCCAGGGCCTTCTCTTTATCGGCCTCTTCCTTCTTCTTCTTCTTCTCAAGAGCCTCCTCGTCGACCTCGGGCTCGGGTTCAGGCGAAGGGGCCTTCTTGGGCTCGGGCTGCTTGGGGGCTGGTGGGGCATCGGGCATGGGAGAGTCCTGAGATTCAGCGTTGGGGTCGACTTCGCGCTCGCGCATCTCCAGATCGACACCCATCAACACACCCATGACTGTCAACAGACGGGGGTCGCTGAAGATCTCGGAAGCATTTGAAGGGTTGCTCTTGATCGATTGGAGCTTGGCCATGAATGAGGGGTCGGCGAGGAAACCGCTGGTCTTGGGGTTTGAGGCGAGCTTCTGAATCAACTGAGGGTCGTTGAACATCTGGCCGAGGCCACCGCTGGGATCTTGGGGTCCTCCTGTGCAAGTGTCAGTTGCCGTAATTTGTATGGTTTTTAGATGTGTTGCTTACCAACTTCGGCCTCCATGGCCTTCTTGACTGAAGTCAAGCCACTCTTGAGCTGGGCGTTGTTGGCATCGAGCTTCAATCCCTCCTCATACGCATCATTGGCACCCAGAAGGTCGCCCTGTCCGTGCAAAGCAGCACCCTTACGTCCCCAGCCCTTGGCCCAGTCAGGCTTGATCTCGGTGGTCTTCTCAGCATCCTTCAGAGCATTTTCCCAATCCTTCTTTGAAGCATAGGCAGCAGATCGGTTGCTGTATAGAATGTGGTTGTCGGGCTGAATGGCAATAGCCTCAGTGAACTTTGCGCTGTGTCGTAGTTAGCAACCCCGATATTCCGTTGTGCTATTGTTACTGGTGGTAACCTACACAGCCTCGTCGAAGTTCTTCTCGGCAATGGCCTTGTTACCCAGAGCCTTGAGCTCGTCCGCGGAAGCCATTTCGTGTGTGAATTAGCAGAATCTGAGGGTTATAGCTATTAGACAACAGTTCTGGTCTGAGTATCGAGTCTGTGGTATCAAAGAGTCAAAGTTACTAGACGATGAAATATGAGAGAGTCGCCCCAGGCGATCTTTGGTGGGGAAGAAGAGGGCCATGGATGCCTTCTAGCTCATTCGATGCAAGTCTATGCAAGGAGCTTCCCATTGGGTGGAGCTCCAACTGCCCCGCCCCGCACCTGCGAGGACCCTTATGATGACCTCCAAGTTCCAGGGTAGGCAATTCAATTAAGGCAAACAAGGAATACGATATCTAGAAGATTCTCCTCATCATGAGATCTATGTATACTTAGGTATGGTAATAAGTGAGTCCGTCTTAATACGAAAGATAGAGCTAAAAATGCTATATGGTACTACACCCAAACAATACATCAAGCTTGTTTGACAATCTTCTTCATTCAGGGCTCGTATCTTGACGGAAATCACGTCACGTACTCTTCAAGTTTCTAAGGCATTTCTTATTCATCATAGATTTCACTCAACTGAGAACAATATCTAAGCCCGACAGATCCAATCTGGAGGGTAACCCAATACAAACGCCAAACTTGCAAGACCTAATAGAAAAAAGATGGGCAAAAGATCAAAAGCATGCAGACCACAATTGGTAACAACCTCGACTGTCTTGGAGCCCCTACGCAGTCCATGGTGATACACCAAGAAGTCTCAGCGCATTCTCAAACACCTGTCTTGCGTTCTCATATAAAGCATATCTTGCCTCACTAGCTGTATCAAGTCCAGTCCAATCTTTCCCATCGTCGTCGTCAAGCGTGTATGTGAGTTGATCGATAAGTCGGGACAAGTACACCACGATAAAAGATGGCTCAAGAGTTCTGAACGAGCCATGTGCTGCATCTGGATACTGTAGCAGGATACGCAGAAGTTCAGCATAGTTCTCCTCTTCTAACGAGGCGTAATCTAGTTTCGTATAATCGAAGATCGTTGGACCTGGCTCCAGTTTCTTGGATAATCTGGCATAGCAGTCTTGGATAGCTGTACCCGTGTCCCCCTGGAGCTGTACCATTTTCTTAAGATCACTCGTATAAGACGTGTTTCGCTTGTGGTAGTGATCTTGTATGAATAGACCAGCAAGCCCCAGTTGTTCCAGGGACTTCTCGGACTTGTCCACATGACACGATTCCTCCTCTTCTTCATCGAGGGCAGCTTGTGCCATCGAGCGGCATCCATCAAGGTAGTCACTCAAAAGTTTTGAGTCCTTGAGTCTCTCTGGAAGTCCATTGATCTTGGCAAAAGCAACATGTTGAATGCGCTCAGCAAGATCTTGTCTTCCCATGAGCTCAAGAGTCTTGGTAACTCGATGGAAGTGCATTTCTTGCTCCACCGCAACGACATAGATCATTCTGTCAAACTGGTGTTTCTTGTATCGATCAAACACTGCGGCAAGATCACGTAACAGATAAGAGGTAGTTCCATTTCGGTAGCGTACCACCGCAACAGAGAGCCCTTTCGCATCGTGCTTGGAAAAGTCGATCTTCCAAGAGCCGTCATGTTCCTCGTAAATCCCCTTTTCTTTGAGGGCTTGTTCGACTTCGGCGATTGACTCTACCGTGGCCTGCGACTCTCCAGAGTATTCATCGAATGTCACTCCGAGCTGTGCGTATGATTCGGTGTAATCTTTCACAGTTGCATCTCGAAAACGCTGCCATATAGCTATAGCTTCTGGCTCCCGGTCTTCCATCTTCTTGAAGAAGATGTCTCGTTCGGCATACAAGCCACGAGATTCGATCTCGGTGGTGTCTTGATTTTTTGCCTTGGCGTTTCTACACTCTTCCACTTCTGGCTTGAATAAGTCCTGTATCTTGTGGTTGACTTCGAGAAGGTGACGAAGCGGCTGTTTCTCGAACTCCTCTTCCGAGCCAAACCTCTGCCAACCGGCAGCAAGGAGTCCAATCTGCTTCCCCCAATCTCCTAGATAGTTCATTTTGACAACATCCCAACCCATACTGGCGTGGATGTTTGCGATGTAAGCGCCAATTAAGGTACTACGCAAGTGAGAAACCTGGAACTCACTCGCCATATTAGGAGACGAGAACTCCACGACAAGCTTCTTCTTGGGACTATCCGGCACTGCGGAATCAGTGAACCCAAGTGATGCATCGTAACCATACGAGGCAGCTCTATCGTTGATATACGGTAGCAAGAGCCGGGAGAGTGTGTTTGGAGAGGAGAAAATCTGCAGACGAATACCGTCTTTCACAGGGCATCCAAAGGGTGGCGATACCGGGAGCTGCGTGAATCCATGTTAGTCTTTGATCGATCCGGAGAATGGATATACCAAGGTCGTACTCTTCCAGCAAGATCTATCACCAAATCTTCGGGCCTGGTGTCTCTCAGTCTAAGCTTTGGAGCCACAACGATAAGATCACCCATGCCCGTAATGTTGGAGGTCTGTATAGCATCATAGGCAATTTGCTTGTCGCATCCTAGAAGCTTCTGGATGATGTCGGCGAGGTAAGCTCGGAAGATGTCCTGCGGGTTGTGCACTACGTCTGCACCGGGGTAGTCGGGAATTGGTGTGTCTAGTCCTGCCTTGCCGAGCAGACTTTCGATGCCACTAACTGAGCAGGTTGTCGCTGCCATAGCCACGATAATGGCGATGATGTTGAAGCGTAAAAGATGAATCAGAGGTTAGAACTTCGGTTGGCTCATGTCAGTAATCATTTGAGTTGAAAAGCAAGCGCACCCAACGCCATTTGAACTGCGAGATTGGGTAGTTGGGTACCAAGAAGCTTGCTATCCTCAGAGCCTCATTTCTGTGACTGGAATTTTGATTTGCTATGGATGCTCCCACGCTGCTCTGGTGTTGCCCAACCTCCAAGATGCGTGATGCGCTGGCAGCCACACACGACTCTCGCGATTCGTTGCAAATAAGGCTGTCAGATAGCATTGGCCAACAACCTCCCCGGTTGAAAGGATATTGCTGCACCATGTCCTCAGATGCCATCAGGTGCTACATCAAATCTATGTGCTCGTGATAAGGCAACTTTTGGTTGACCGAAGGAGATGTGTCACATATCAACAGATGGCGATCTTGTTGCCCGAGGCCCGGGTTACTGGTGAAAGTGGTATCCAGGCCATGTGACATACAGAGAACAACTATCGAAGCTGAGTATGCAGATTTTTGAGGCCCGAATGCAACCTCACGAGCGTCATTAAACGTCAACAGAATTGTAATTGCAGGCGCCTTATTTCATACACTGCCCTATGAGGCAGTGCAGCATAGGCACCAGGCGCAGAATCTCTACTCCTCCTGTCTTGCCAAATGTGTATCGCTTTTATCATAGGGTGCTTCAATATGTCCTTGATAGAGTTTTGTGAACATAAACATCTTGATTTCGATAGACGAAATTGTAATTAGCTAAATAGCTGAAGAGCCAACCAAGCCAAATGCCATTCTTCTGATCATTTTGATGAATCCAACCATCACCACAAACCATTGCCAAATACGTTGTCTCAGCAATGAAAGGAAATGCCACATCAATCGGATGTACCTGGACACATAAGATCTTAAATACCACAGAATTCCCAGAAAGAACAAGACGTTCAGGATGACCACTAGAGTGATGTATCCCGACGATGAAGAATCACCATCCTTCTCGGGTTTACCAGCATAGATCTGTGCAACCAGATTCAGGATGCTCAAAGCCTAGATCTATCAGTTTGTGTGCTTCGAAGTAAGAGGAGGGGGGCTATTGTACAAATGATGCTGCAGTAATTCGTTGAATCTTACTATTTCCACTCGTTTCCTCATCTCGACCAGTGTTGTCATTATCACGCCGATCGTCTCCGGAATCATCGTCGCTCTACCCTTGTCAGCCCATCTCTTCTATGTGAAGCAGTCCCTATTCCGAACTGCGATGATGAGAAGTAAAAAGAAAAGGGCTGCTTACCCCCCGTCTAGTTTCATTGTAGGACTCACTGAGCTGCTCAAGATGAACACTGATATCCCTCATCTGGGTGCAGAGGGCCTCTATCGCGCGTAGAGACCTCAAAGTACTTATATCGCCCCGGAGGCCTTGCTGCCATTCTCCGTAAAGAGTTGTCTCTGGGTCAATGATGGGATCTGCCAGAAAGCTTTTTAATCTTATCGACCAGCCTTGAATTACATTCGATAGTTTTTTGAAGTATTTTCGGGAAGTATTTCCGCCAGTTTCGCATCCTCTGACGTGGAAGCGCTTCAGCAAAGCTACCGTTTCTCATCGATACCTAAGAACAATTAATCCAGGATAGCAAGTACACAGAATCTGGATGAACTTCCGTGCGATATGATGGGACAGAATAGCATACATAGAGGGCCAGACTTTTTCTGAGGCATTCTAAGATCTGACCATGATGCTGAACAATCTCCTGAAGCTGTCTTGCCAAAGCCGTGAATGAATACGCCTGTGGAGATGTAGCCATTTCGAGGCATGGCTCTGATATGATGGGATCATCGTGTGCATGATTACTTTCGCCCTCGTTCCCGTGGTCCAGTCTCAGCTCTTTGCCAGAGAAGTCTTCGTCTAGGCAGACAGCAACCCAATAGTTGCTGCTGTGACCAGTGATTAAGAGCGAGTAGACAGCTTGATGCAGAATAGCACTACTGCGGAGTAATGGCACCCCATTCTGAATTGCAGGAGGTTCGAGAGTCTCTAGAAACAATAGAGAAAAGTCGTAGCGCGCTCGAAGGTAGTGGTTGCCCGTAAGAATGCGGCTATCTTCGTACTCGCGAGTAGTCACAACAAAGAACGGAAGATTAAAGCAAATAGAGAACCTGGTAGTCTGCTGAAAGATTTCAGTGTTAGCGGCTACAAACACTTCGAGTCATTTATTACCGCATACAGAGAACTGAAGAGACAGTATTGGAGTTGGACTAATGTCGAGGTAGTTTGCCAGAAGGCTACGCAAATCATCAACTTGTGATGGCGGGGCTGATCTTAATAGTGCGAGAACACTAGCACCGTTAGGATTGCTGATATATCTGAGAAGACTCAGTATAACAATAAACGTGACGAGTGTCTGGATATCGTACATCTTCCGAGCAGGACTGTCCACTTCTTTCATACGCTAGACGTTTTGCCTAAATCAGCTGTGCCGAACGAGTCTATCACGGTGGACTGACAAGACTTTTGAGTGCTTCGTCGAGCTCTTTATTATTTAACACTCGATCATCGAGGGACTGGTATGATGCATCGTTTTGGGAAGTTGAGCGGGGTTCGGATATCCATGCTCTTGGTTCTTGGGTATGCTTCAGTTGAGGATTGTCTGGGACATCGGGAATGAAGTTATCAAGGATGAAGTCTGCTCCTTCGATGAACCCGTCGACTTGACTAGGTTTTCTATTCCGTCCGAAAGAGCTGCTGTAAGGCTTTGTGTGAGCCGCATCTGGGCAGGCCGTCGCCTCCTCGTCCGAACGATAGCGGTCTCTCAACTTGAATCCCGTCGCTTTCGCTAGATCAATTGCAGAACTTCCTTTAGCCTGGTCGAGATAACTGTAGAGACTTGCTTTGTGGTCGAGGGTTGGGGAGGAATTCGTTGGGACGTTGCCAATACTTGCCGCCATGGCGTAGGTGAACTCTGCTATTCCTGGCAGCGAAGAGTTCGGCTTCATAGGGCTCGGCTGTAAGTTTGAACGAAAAAGAAGGGTTGTTTAGTGATAGCAGGAGCATGTTCTTTTATGCCAGGTGCTGGTTTCTTGTTCCCCCATCCCACCGACGCATCCCCCCAGCTGAGCTGCAGCCACCATCAGCAATCACAACACAGCCTGAAAAACAATTCGAATTGATAGGACATCATATTTCAATTGTGAATCTTGCACATGTACACGGCAACTAACAAGAAGTATCTGTATAATCCAAGTAAGAACGCACCTCCCGAAGGATTCCTTTATCATATTGATCAGCTATCCACACTATCTAAACCTCTGCGTGCTGCAGTTTGGGCACCGTGGCATGAGGCAATAAGGGCAAGGATCAACGCTAACTTTCATTCCACCATGGCCGCAGTCACACTCAGCGATCATTAGCCATATGTGTCAAACACGGAAGACCAGTATGGGAGGCAAGAGTCGGTATATTACTAGGGTACTCACACAAATCCAGATCCATACAACCTTTTTTCTTGGCGGCAGTTCGTTGATGGGTACCACAGGCAACAGTGGAAGGGCAGCTAGAACAAATAACTCGTCAGCCCTGTGCATAAGGGGGGCTCCAGAGCATGGACACTGACCAACAGGTGCTCGATGGATTGTGAGGCTCAACTCTACCAAGCCGGAACAGGCACCAGGCAGCTGCAGGGTATTGGGACCCTCATTTCTGACCATTCTCAAGGTGACTGCAGCGAAACGTCGTACAATGACTATGACAAGCGAAGTCAATACCAGATCCAGTGTGGCACATCCCGAAATCGAACCCGGGCAATAGCTCTGATTACTTACATTATTGAGTATACATATAAACTGAAGGTGCGTAGGTGCGTGAAAGTCAAGTGGTGGAAACAGTCTTCGAAATGGCTTGTGGTGTATCCTTTGATGAAATCAGAAGAACGGCGGGCGGCGGCTTTTAACCTTTATTTTTAAGCTAGATTCACTCTATTTATATTAAGAAGATCCTCTATATCGTACTTAAGGTGAGCACGCTTCAACTTACTTGTTTCCCGTGTTACATCGGTTTACGGCCGGTCGACCCTCAATGCGCTTGTGTCTTGTGATGCTTCTTGCACAGGGATAGCTGCGGCGTGGGACTAACCAGACGGAGCTCGAGCGGTGGCGGAATTATCAAAACATCCTTTGACACCGACGTGACCGACTGACGGGAATCCGGTAGAGTTCAACGCAAATCGTGTCACCGGCTTAGGCTACCTCTGCCGACTCAACCCTCATCAACCGTGCCTTTGCCGAAGATTGCCGTCTTGTTCCTCTCTAGTTCGCTTGAGAAAGGGCCAATGGCCTCAATAGTTTGAAGGTACATACTGACATGGAAGAGGGTGTCTCAGAGTGAGTGTGAGACCTTGACTTCAAGGGAAATCCCAGTGAGGGTGGTCCGCTAAACACAAATGTCGAACGAGCCGGTGAAGACAAACCCCTAGGAACGCCGAGTTCGGAAAGACTAGGGGTATTGAACTGTGATTGCAGCCTATTCTTGTCTTGAGAAGATACCTATGTTCACGCAGATGTGGAAGTCTCAGCTTGGCGGCCTGTGTGTCATTTTCGGGGTCTCGCAATATCGGTGCACACACGCAGCCGTGGAAGCTGCGATGCCAACGGTTGGTGTCAGAGCCCTCAATTAAAATAGATTAGTACCTACTAAGATAAAAAACTGATAGATACATCCTACGAAACTTCTGTTTGCTAGCAGAAGCAAATTGTTCATATTTAACCTTTATATGTGACCCCTGGGCAAATGTTTTGTCAACACACTGATCACGAAGCGTGATGCACGATGACGTAGTGGCGTCCATCTTCACGATTTAAGACACATGGCTGCAAGGGTCCTTGTATTCCTAGACTTGAATTGTATAAAGCGGGTGTATTTTAGATCGAGAATGCAATGCAAAGTACCTATTTTGGTCTCCTGTGTCACATACCGCCCGCTGGGTGACGTGGAAGCGTATGAGCCCATACATATTGGTTGGTAACTCTGCTGTGCTAGATTGCTATGTTCTGTCTTGGATTGCACGTATGAGGTAGTTGAATGATTTGTTTATGGAGGATGGCGGATGGCTTTTCTCAAATTGGAAATCGCCACCTTATATCATGGGCCAATGCCAGTTGTTCACTTACACATGGACACATGACTCTATCGGACAATCTGGACCCACCAGGAAGCACGTAGATCGATGAATTAGAATGAAGAATTCGACAACACCACATGGGAGGCGCAGATATTGTGGAGGTCAGCCGTCTATTCAGCCTTACTACATGTCGATTGCGAGTCCCCTGGCCTGTACTGCCTCGTAGAATGCCCCTCAAGCTGCCTGGTCGAGAAGGCGCCTAGTGTTCATGCTGCACTGTAATTAGGACCAGAAGTCAAATTCTGTGATAAGATTCTAGCTGTCAGCCTCAGTATTACACTGCTAGTTCGTTCACTGTTGTGTTTATGCAGGTACATGGTATTCAACAGAGGGAGACGGGTGTGGCACTTGAGGTCAACACTGCCCGAAACTTAGATTCTTCGACCTAATGCCACTCATTTGCGTATTCTCGCCATGACAATCTGATACAGAATTCCAAACGATAGAACTCATGTCCCTATAATCTCTTTAGAACGCGCAAATCGGATATCGCGTCAAGACGATATACTCAATATGCCAAACTCAGCCTCCAAGAAAGAACAAGAAATCGAGGCTGCAAGTCTTTCATAAAGCCAAATGATTATAACCTTCAATTTATGTTCTTTTGGCATGAGTGGGTTCTTAATTCCCGGGTGTGGTAGCCTTGTCATCGAGAGTTGAACTCATCGTGTTGTCGAGTTTCTATCCTTGACATCAGCCTAATTACAACCAACAATTTCCAACCCCTTCCCGAAACATGGAACCGCAAGGCACTCGCACCAGCACATTCGCAAGGCCTTATATTCAGACCAAAACTCGATTATTCTCAACCTATAACGGTGTTGCTTCGGAGCCACAACCGCGGTTGGCCGCGCTCGAACTCCCTGAATCCTATGTTAGGCGATACTGAACACTTCAACATGGGCGACTATTGACACGACGAGTCTCGCAGTTTGGACATCTATCAAACCCACAGCGAAAGCACGGATCGACCTTGATATTCATGCCACCTTGCCCACACATGCACTGACAGGGAGAAGTTAGCTCGATAGGTACAAAGGCCATTGACGGGCTATGTATCAGGCCGCTTTCTTCACTTACACATGTCCATATCCAGACTACCTTTCGTCTAGGAGGTACCTCCCTAAAAGGTGGCCAAGTTTGTAGAAGGTGGTCTGTTTGAAGTGGTTGTGAATGATCTTCTTGAGTTAAAGATAAGTCATAATACATGCCGAAGTCAGTCTCCGAGTTCAGGTCGACTTCAGGTCTCAGACTGGTCTTGCGGCCTGACGCGCGCCGGTTGCTAACTGCAACTAGAGGTTCGTGGTGACCTTCCTGCATCGTGTCGGTGAGGCTGATTTGATACATATGTACATATGGTTTGCTTGGAAGCTGATGAAATACGAATTGGGGGCCTCGAGCTCTTATAAACTCGGACGAAGCAGGGCGCAGTTGCGGAAGAAAAGAACCGGGACATACACCGAAATATATATAGCAATACGCATCCCCTGGCGTCTGTCTGACCGTCCTCCATCAAATCAAAGGCAGCACTAATATCAGGGCCATGCAGGGTTTGCCTTTTCACGTCACACTGGCTCTTCTATCCGATCCCGGCCCTGTGAGGCATTGTTTCTAGACTGGACACATGCACACCGACATGAAGGCTCACAGGGGATGTTTCATCCAATAAGATCCCTTCGGTACACCTAAGAATACCTAAATAGGACAAAGATGCTACATCCTTATTTGGTCTTTGCTCCTGTGCCTTGTAACTAAGACTCGAGTCTTGAAGTCAGTGACGCAAAAGAAGCTGTCTCACATACCACCTCATTTCGCGTGTGTTAATTCAGTGTAACTTCGGGCAATACTGGAATTTGCGGTACAAGAGTTGACCTCCGAGTGTCTTTCCTGTGAGACCGGCATTGAGAGATCAGGTGATGATGGTGTGGATCAAGAACGTGGACGCCAACTCCATCGTCCGCCATGTCTCTGAAAGTTCCAGTATCTCAGAAACAAGCGTCTTACACGGAGGGTTTAAAGACTATCTTCTCTCACAGTTTTATAAGCTCCTGCCCTCCATAGATACAAACCCTGCAATGAAACCATCGACTATCTCAATCGATCAGTAAGCTGTAAGCACGTGAATGTCTTATAATGCATTCTCTGTGGCTTTTTTTCGACCGATCAGTCAAGCATTGCCACACTCTAGCTACATGAAGGACTACGCAGCCTGAAGTTGCCTGTTTTCTCGGGCGTTGGTCGGGGTTCCCCGAGGTTGGGACACAATTCAGCCCAACCAACACACCAATCATTGTATACATACAGCTAGTATCAACGACTTGAGTTCGGACTGTATTCTGTAGCCTATAGCGGAATATTCCCTTCCTATCAAACCTCAGCTGTGTGACGCATCTTTAGGGACAAATCGGGGTTGGAATATCTCTGAGTTTGTGTAGACGTGGCAGGAGTACAGCAAGCACCAGTCTTGGACATTTGACTTAGCTTATGAGTGGGCTGAGTGAACAGGAATCTCGCCATACCGAGGCTTTATTCGGACTGCAAAGAAGGATTTATAAGAAATAAAAATTGGCCATGGATGGCGTGTGCATTAGATGAAAGAGAACTAATACAAGTGGGCCGTCAAAGTTCGATCTTTGTGAAGGAACCCAATCCATCCCCATAGGTAAGATGTACTGGATGACATAATGTACCTAGACAACCATTCCTTGAGATACCAACTTGGTGCGTTGTCTGTGTCGTAAATTCCATCTGATTATGTGCCAATGTTCAACTTCTCTACTTACAAACGATGGCTTCAAATAGCAATTCGAGCATACCAACTGCTTTATTCCAACATAAGACCCAGATGTTGATAAGCTACCATCTCCTAGACAGCGCAAACCCAGCGGCTTTATCTTCATCAACCACCCGAGGGCCATGCCGGTGCCTTTTCAAGTGGACATCAACGTAATACTTTTACGGGGGACTCTAGAGAAACCTCTGGATGTCTAGCCTTAATTGTAGGCTTCTTACTTCAAGGTTATTTTACCCTAATCTCTAAGTAGCTTCAACTTGAAGGAAAGATCCCACAGGTAATAGCCGAAGGGCTGGGTTCTTAGTAAACTCTGTTGTCTTGTGTTCAATGAGGCAAGTAAAAATTGGTCCTCTAGACTGCGTTCTCAAGTCATTATTCTATCGCGGCTTTGTTGAATAAGTCACCAGACCATAAACCGATATAGTAGGCTCCGATTTTGAATCTGCCATCGCCAATCAGTCTGTACAGGAACTATTTAGGCTAAAGTTTCAGTAACCCAATCATGATTTTCATCTCTCATACATATGTATAATTCCCCTTCAAATATGCTTCGGGCACCAGACACTCCAAAGTGAGCTTAGTTTGATAGCAGTAGGTTCAGAAACACGTTTGCTTCACTAGCAAAAAGGGGGCAAACTTTTTCCTTTTCATATCAGTCTTTTCAACTATGAATACTATCAATCCTTCCAATGGGTACACTATGAATATTGTCCCCGTTGCGTTCCGATACACGACCATCTTTGTGGAAGCTCAACGACCAACGATCAGGGAAAGTATTCCAGGAACACAAACCACAAGATCGGCTACGAGATACAAATTTCTAACGTGGAACATAATATTGGCTTTCAAGATTATGAAATGGTCCTCATAGTTTATCTTGATGGCTATAATGTCACAACATGTGGCGGCATGTTGAACCAATCTCTCTGATCTTTCTGGTCCCGAACAGGTTGCACACAAACATACAAGGAACACAGATTTTTACAGACCATTAGTCTCGGCAAATTTTATTGTTATGAAGCTGATGTGTCTCTTAGTTTGAGTATATAACTTCAGGCAAAGAATCATTCTACGCCTTATACTAGGATTCCACACCTCGGGTAACAGCAAGAGGGAGAGGAATTGGCAATCAGCGATTTCTACACTTTTTGTAAAGCTCTCTTTAATTGATAAACACCAGCCGGTGACGAGTTCGCTGAGATGAACCCTCTAGCCGCTAAGCCTATCCCACGACGTGACTGTATGTCGGTGAGCAACCGCGGGCCGGCCCGACGGGTTGATACTTCAATATTGCTACAGGGTGCGCTTATTAGAGTACTTTGATATACAACCGGCTTGCGTCTTACTTGGATTTCATAAATGACACACGGCGGAGGAGACCTTGTACTGTGCAACAGCATAAATGTAAGGGGTGAGTTCCACACCACCCCCAAGAAATAACTATGGATGCATTAAAGCACCGAAAACCACATATTTCTTCTATTTTCTTGCCATTGCTGCAATTCCTGCGTTTCTTCTTTCTATAAAGTGGCTTCACTTGTCAGAATTCTGTGACGAGGGTAGATACGATTACCATTCAATACGTATTAGTTGTTGAACCAAACCTGCAGTGAGTCACGCAAGAAAACCAATAGATTCCAAACTAAAATTGAGCTCAGCCTATAGTTCCTTTGATTCTTGTTCTCTTTTAAAGCAGGGAGTGGTAATGGGACCAAAACAGCCCATGATCGGTGCCGAGGAGCTTGGTGGCCTCAAAAGTGAGCTGAATATACCATTCTTTTCTAATCTCTTTCTATGAACTTTCTAGGGGCTAATATGAAGTCTACTCAAGTCAACCACTCGCTGTTTCCCCCAGTTCCTTTGAGAAAAATACCGTCACGCCGAAAATTCGTGTATGTGTGGTTCTGCGTAAGTTTTCACTCGTCCACGTTCAACCCTTAACCATTTAACACTATCTAACATTCCTCCAGTGCCAATGTGGACACGGAGGTATGAAGGTCAGCGTTGACCCTTGCCCTAACTGCGGCGTGCCCCGGTGCTCGAACTGTGATACGAGACGCTTCAATAGCTGCTGAAAACCCACAGTCTTGCCACAGAGAGACAAGTTCGTTGTTTGAAAGGATTGGGATGAATAGTCATTTTTCGTACTTCTTGCCCAAGAAGGCTCCATATACCTATCACCTTGGAAGTAATTGTTGGTTCTTACCCAAAATCTTCAATAGATGACGGCGCAAAAATGCGGCCCCTGAGTAGTTCCAGAGCCAACCAATGCACTTCCGTATAGTTTCAGTCTTTGAGTCTCTCTTGAATTTCTCTTGTATCATCCCAAGCCTTTCCTTGAAATATGACATGAGTGCATTGCCAAGTCGAGTGACTCGTCTCCGAACAATGTACAGTATACCAGCTGTGCAGATGACCACAAACAAAACTACCATGGTAATGTAAAGTGGCCAGGATTCTGGGTCGTCCTTCTGGGGTTTTCCGCTGTACACTTGAGCTATCAGGGTCAATATGCCAAAAACCTAGCAGATTAGCTTTGCAGTCCTATCTATTTGAAGGCGAGGCTCACAAATGCTGCGATGGTAAACTCCTGGTTCCTTTTCTCCCTAGCCTTTCGCTCGTCTGCATCGTCAAACTTTTTCTGAAACCTGTCGTTAATACACTCTACTATTGTGCGAAGCTGAGCAGCCTACCTCTCGTCTTAGCTCTTCAAAGGTTTCTTTTATTTCTCGTCTTAGCTCTTCCAATGTTTCTTTTGTTTGCTCAAGTTTGCCTCCGGTAGCTCGCAACCTGTAGAGTGAGTCTCTGATGGAGCGAAGAGACTTCATGGCCTTCCCATTGTTGCGCAGGCTTTGCCATAACACTCCTTGGGGCGCTCCATCCGGGTTAAGCTGCACTTCTTTGGCCAAGAAATTATCCACAGCCTCTATTAGCTTCGAGTTGCAGAATATCACCTTACCCAGCAGTTCAGAAAATTCCTTCCAAGCTTGTTTGACTGAAGGGTATATGTTTTCCACAGATCCGTCTCTTGCACTAGACATCTACCAGGGGTTAGCGGTCCAAACGTAACGAGACACTTTTGGCTTCTCCAAGAAAGCTCACTCCAAAGAGATCAGGTAGGGAGTGACCACTCACATAGATATCCAAACTGTACTTGAAAACTTCGTAGACATAGGCATGATATCCGAATATCTTGTCAAGCTGTTTTGCCAATGCTGCAAGAGAGTATTCCCGGGGGAGCCACATGTTCATGGGCCCCTTGAGCTCTGCTTCATCTATGATGTGGTCGACGCTCACTTCTAGGCTTTCATCTTCATTTTCGTCCTCACTTTCTTCATCTTCGTCGCTGTTTTCATCCTCGTCCTCCTCGAAGAAGTTCTCGTCGAAGCAATATGCAGTCCAGTGCGGCTCACTTGGGCCCGTTGTGATCAGGGCGTACACTGCTTCATGTAAGACGAGCTTCTTTTGGAACGAAAAATTTTCGCCACATCCTAGACGCGATCGCGGATCCTGTAAATTCAGGGAATCAAGGGGGTATCGGGCACGAAACTTGTGCTTGCTGGTATGGAAGACTCGCTTATCCTGTTTCTCCGAAGGTCCAATGGCGAAAAAAGGAAGATTGAAATTGAGGACGAAACTCGCATTCCAAAAGTCCTATAGGGAGAGCATGGTGAGTACTTGAGATCTAAATTCACTTTTTCATCCACTTACCGAGACTCTCAGTGTCAGATTCGGAGTTGGGCTTGACGAGATGTAGTTTGAGAGAAGGTCTCGAAGACCATCGGCATGTGGGTGTGGCGCTGTACGCAGGATTGCTAGTACACTTGCACCATCTGGATTTTTGATGTGCCTATTCATATCAGAACAGAACAATCAGGGCAAAACTGCTGTAATATTTAGACTTACACTTGTCGAGCTGGTCCAATCATCTCTCCTTCTGTGTTAAGTCGGAAACGCTAGAGTTGCACCAGTTAGTAGATTGCCCTCGGAGAAGAGGAGGGTATTTGGAAACACGTACCTCGTTTTTCAAGACTTGATAGAACCCAAGACGGTCCAGCACTTGGCCATACCAATGCTCCTGTGCTATTCCGTCTTGAGAAAGCCAGTAGTTTCGATCCGAGACCCATGCTTCTGGTCCGTTCTCTTTCAACAACTGACTGTCCTGAGCTCTGTCTGGATTAGGATTGTCAAGAATCTCGTCGGCGCCCTGGCAAAAGGCTTGAACACAGAGTGTATCATGTTCCCAGTGGAATAGGCCTGGATTGCGGTCCATGAAAGCCGAGATCTCTGAGAAATCATAGCCGGACCTTTCTTTGATAACCTCGACAAAGGGCTTATTGTGTTCCACGGCTGAGATCTTGTATCTGTCGATCTTAGACTGGTCTCTCCATTCATCTGGTACATCCCATATGGCATCCTTGACCCAGTCATAGTAACTTGCAGCGCGGGAGAATTTGCTATGGGCTGGCGAGGTTATTGGGAGAGTTCTGTTGCGTCTCAACAGCTGCATATTTCAATTATAGCAGCAAATATGTCTATCACATCCATTATTGTTAGCCAGTGCGCCAAAGGTTTGTTTTCGTGTCAGACAAGAGCTCATGTGCACATCATGATTCACGAACAGGTAAAGATAACGCGCGAGGATTTGAATATTCCAAGCCATCTAACGAACAAGTGGAATCTGTTGAAGAAATTGTCATGTCTTCTCTTCCTCTTCCTCTTCCTCTTCTTCCTCTCCTTCCTCTCCTTCCCCGGCCATATCTCCAACCAAAATCGTACGTACTGGCAGAAATAACTCGAGGCTCAGTTTTGTATCAGCACCTTGAAGGATGATTTCAGGGGTCCTATAGTTAGGGTGGCGAGATAAATGTGTTAATGTAGATAAGGGAAGTCGGTAAGATAGGTCCTCAGGTTCGGTATAAGGAATATATATGTTTGATCTGCTATTAAAGCGTCTTGTATCACAATTCGCACACCTTGGAACTCCGCAGTATGGACAAGGATCGACTGTTATCTTCATTCCGCCGTGGCCGCACTGACACTTAGGGAGAGTTAGAAGATATATATACATTTCCAAGACTAGTAAGAACGCGGGTGTTGAGGAAACTAGCAATAGCTGCCTGAGTCTCATGAATTGCACTTCTGATCGAATTTACTCACACAGATCCATACGTATACAACCTTCTTACGAGGAGCAAGCTCGTTGAAGGGAGTCTGAAAGTAGAGAGTAGGAGGCGCAGCTTTAAGGCCACCAATTGTCAACCTATGGATTTCCCAGCCATAGTGGCGTGTATGATGAGAGGAAAGGGGGCGTACGGCTGAGAAAAAATATAGAAGGCCTCAAAGAAGGATTAATCCAATCGGCGACAGCGAGGGTTGAATTGGGATTCTCTGGCTCATTGAGCCAGATGTAAGCTTCATGAGTATATGCTGTCGCCTTGTGAGTTTTAGTCTAGTCAGCCCTCTGTAGTGAGTGGTCTGATGACCAAAGCCCGCACCTTTTCTTGGATATCTTGAGAAGTTGACGTTGGGGGTGATGGTGATGCCATTGGACTTTTCTTTTTCTTCCTTTTTCTTTTGTTTTTGTTTTTTCCGGACAACATTGACACCCTGGATGAGATTCGCTAGAGTCGGTGAAAAGAAACCTGGCAAAGAAGGAAATACTGTGTAAGGCAGACACATGCAGGGTAAAAGCTTTAAGTAAGGCACCTAATAAATCATGACAGCCCAACAATCTCAGCTCAACATGTGTCGAGACTATCGGATGGAACAGCCCTTCCCCCCCCCTGCTAGAATAAGGCAATATTTCCTCCCGAGTCATTGGCAATAGCTTCGATCATTGTCGCATTCGTACGCTTGTGTTGTGTCCCTCGTCGGTGGACAGATTCCATAGGCGTACTGTGTACCATGTACAGCGTTCTCGGTCCACCTTGATCGGTGAAGCGATGATGGAAACTATTGGCTCATGTGTAGCACAATCTCCTGTCCATTCCCCAAGGTTTAAATACACCGGTGAGCTTGGAATTCTAATTAAATCAAGCCGTATTGGTATGGGTGGCATAAGTGAGTTGTCGCGAAGTTTGTATCATTGATATAAATGATACAAGGTAGCGGACGAAAACGTAAAATTACCAAGTTTGACGGGTTGGTACGACAAAGGCGTATGCGTTCGTCAACACGTATATATAGGTCTCGAAAATGTAATTGGTAAAATTTCGTGTCTCACACTTCTTGTCTCACACTCATCGAGTTCGTAGAAGTGACAGGCCAGGATCACCTTGGTTTCTTGCGGATTGTGCAACACAACACAATATTCACCAAAGGTCCCGGATGTGGGCCCCGGACCCCGAAAGAAATCAGACACATCAGCGCTGCTGCCCAACAATTACGAAAGATGTGTTGCGTTTATCAATGTATGATTGTCACATGATGCACAAGTGTCACAACAGCGGTCAAGTAGCTTCAGAGCCCAATGTAACTCTTTTCAACTCTAACCACAGGGGATGTTTCCTAGCCCTGATTTTTACGTCTGAGAACAAGGACTCTAGACCCTGTGGCTTATGCAGTTGTTCCGTATATCGGGAGTTTGGATTCGGGCGTATGATAGGTTACCGGTAGCATGCACTGCGGGAAGATATTGCTTTTTCTTTTGTACAACGAAGACTCGGGTACCTACATTTATTGCTCGAAATTACCCATTGAGTTCATGACGATAGCACTCCAGTCTAAATATCCATCAAACCATATCGACGGATCAACCCCCTGCAGCACTTCAGAAGCCCACTGTGCTTCCGGATTCCAGTCTGGCATGGCAAACACTGTGTTCGAGCCATCGCCCAATGATGCCACAGCGTCAGCGCCAGCAGTTTGTCCGGTTTCGCTCATGTTAAGGTCCACCATATCCGTGTCTCGGGCCTCATCATGTATCTTGAGCGCCTCTGTCCCAGCAGCGACGATCTCGGCCCATCTTTCTAATTTTGCCCTTGTAATCTTAACTTTGATGGCGCTCATGCTCCAGAGGTTGTGATCCGAAGAACCAGGTTCGGTTGACGCCATCTGGAATGATGCATTGGCCTCTTCAAACCGTGCGCAGATCGCTGATAGTATCCCGGTGATGTCAAGGGAGAGTCCTGCTTGGGTTTGGATCTGTGACCGAAGAGAGGCCACAGCAGCTGGTAACCTCGGGTCTGTACCCTCCCGGAGTGAGATCGGGCTGGTTTCATGGGAATCTCTTCCCGTCGTCACTGACGGTGTTGCAACTGATGGGCTAACACTCGCCGAATATGCCGAGTCTGCCTTGTAAATCTCATCATGGGGGTCTCGTGCGCTTGTGTCCTTGGGCATCGGTGTAGTAGCCTTTGTCAAAGGAATCGGGGCAGTGTATTTGGCCCAGCGACCAAGCATTGTCATCCCGTAAACAAGTTGTGCAACTACTGATGTTGTCTGATTGTAAAACTCTGGGATCGGGACCGTAAGCCAATCATCGAAGAACTTCTTTAAGGCGTTTCTTGACTGGTAAAAGATGTCGAGAGCTGAAGCAGCCCCCAATGTGGGAGATGTTAATGACTCTGACATGGAGACAATCCTAGGGGCGTCTAGTATGGGAGGTTCATATAACCGGAGCATGGCCGTATTTAGAAACATATTTATTACTCCTGCAAAAGTCAGTATCAGTCAATCGGTAGTAAAGATTTACAAGTCCTAGGACTCACTGTCGTTTTGAAGCTCAGGAGACAACCCATTTCGGATTCTGTCGAGCTCACCATGGAACGCAGAAACGTAGGCTGATAATGGTGCTGCTGGTAGACCAACAACTTCTTCCGCCGGGTCATCTGGAGCATTGAGTTGTGCAATCCTCTCCGTCAAGTGCTGGACCCTCACGAGCGTCACGAGGCGCATGTCCGTGTCGTACTCCCTTTCCTGCTCAAGAACAGCCAGACATTGTTGTATGTATTTGGTATACCGCATCGGTTCTATCCGTAAGAACCCAAGAGACATCCTAACAGCAGTTAGTCCCAGAAGAACCGGTGATTGATAGTGGTGCAACTCGCGATGAAGATAAGTACCACACTCCTAGCAAGGCTCTCCTCTCCTCGTTGGTCCTTTCTGCTGGTTGGAATGGTGTCACGACCATCAAGCTGGTCCGTTCGAGAACACTCGGACTGCGGTGCAAGCCCAACTCGCCCACGAGAGTAGAGGCCAAGGCAATCAAGTTGTTTAGCTGTGCATGCATGAAGCAGTGATACTTATACCATGCAATTATGACAACGATTCCAAGCAATAGGTCCAAGGATCGCTCGGAGCGGATAAGCATGTGGTCTGCTATGTACTTCATCAGATGATACATCTGGGCCCTCATCGACTTTAGGCTGCGATAAGACGTAACCATGCGGATAGCTGACATGAGGAAAGGCCGCGCCGTCTTGAGCTTTGCTGCTGTGACACCATCGGGGATAATGACGAACGGGTGAAGAGCCTGCAACTCTTTTCGATAGAGCTTCAAGAGCTCCTCATCTGAGGCCGGAGGAGGGGGGGCCACCCCACTGGCCTGTCTGCAAATACATTGTGGAGGAGCATACGAGTTGTAAGTATCAGGTATTGACCAATCTATTGTCTCAGGAGAGAGTGAAGAATCTCTCTCTTTCGTCGAAGGCTTCCTTTGGTCAGCAGTGGTAGGGTCAACCTCAGTTGGGATGCAAGTAGTGTCTGTTGCAAGATCGGCGTTGGTGAGGCCACCTGCTTTGAGAAGATTGACTAATCCATTTAGTCTCTCTTCTATCTGAGCAGTTCGTCTAAATCATGTCAGTGACTGACGATATGTGGATGCGATGTGTTGTTAGGGTTGTATGGTAGGTTAACTTACGATGGTTTGACAGTTCTCTTTTTCCGGGGTCGATGAACCTGCTCTGTACAATTCTTGACTAGTCGTTCACATCTGCAAAGCGTGTGTCAGTCCCATTTTCCCTTTTCAACCGCGGTCCGGGGATTAATTATGGAGAGGCTCCGTAATGACCGCCGAAGATCCGGTCATAGGCCTCCGGAAATCTCGGGCTCTTCGGAGCCGCGTCCCACGTAGCTAACACGCCCGAGAAATCATTGAAACGTAGAAAGGGTGTTAAAAATAAGCTTACCTATCGCACTTTGATCCAGGCGTGTTATTTGACCGTATACACTTGGCTTTCGCTGTAGAGCACTGTGAACAAGCAGCACCCCATTTAGCCGTTGCGGGCTTTGGCCTGTCTGTGTTGGAGGATATCATAACTGAGACCTGCCGTGCATAAAGAGCTTGCAGAAGAGAAATGGAAGGCGGTGTACGCTGACAAGTCCGGCGGAGATTTGGCGAAAAGCAGAAAAGCCCGGTTCTTTAATAAGTCGTGTAGTATTAGTTAGTATTTATCAGGAGGATAAGGGAAGACGTCGAAACCCGGATTGGGCGGCTTGGAAAGTCCGGTTAGTTTAGGGTGGGTCCAGGGGTTTCAGCTCCAAGCCTCCAAGAGCCTCATATAACGCCATGTCGGTCGGAATTGGTGAGTAAATGCCGGTGAAAGCTTAGAAATACATTGATAAGACTCACGAAAGGACTCGACTGAGTTGCTAGATCAGTGGGCGTGTTGTATCAACGTGTTCCTCTTATCAAGTATCAACCTCAAGCTGGTGATGCATGATATCATCAAAGCTCGATTCGAAATCCGCTATTCAAGCTCACTTATCAGCTCCACTAAGAGAAGCATGTGCTGGAGTGCAATTTTCATGAGTTTACCGGAGCTACTCATGTCACTGGACACTAGATGGTATACCATGACGCAGCCAAGATACATACATAAGCTCCATTGACGGGTTACTATGAGACAATCCATCTCTACGAGAAACATCTATCATTCAGAGCAATGGTCACTTCTCAAGACGCAAGCATCGAACTCGCGCGGAACGGATCAAGTGTTTACAGATAACACCATCATATCATATGGACCGACAAGGAATAATATTGAAAGACCAGGAGCCCTGCTCAACACGCGTCATGGCATGTTCAAGCTCAAAAAACCATCATGTGAAAGAGGGTCGTCATTCACTCATTACGACATGTGAAAAGGCACTCTCATAAGTCGAATAGTTGCATGCTCTTGTACTCAATGAACTGGTCGCAAAAATCGAAACGCATTCTAACAAAAGAAGCCCCTTATCGAGGCACCTGATACAAGCTCCTAGCCTTTGTACGCCCGTATGTCAAATACACCATATGATGATGATACATGCCGCCCTGGAGTCATTATGTTGTGAAAACTCCCCAAGTCGGCTTACACAACTCCAGCAGCCTGACAGTTCCCATAATTCTCCCCATCTCCCCCTTTCCAACTTTACTTGGATCTCGACACACCAGCGCCAATCACTCCAGGAAGCTTCTCCTCACCAACGCTGAAGAGCATGCCAATAGCCATATACAGAATGGTAAGGAGGGCAATGGTGAAGCCAGCAAAGAGCCAGAACTGGACACTGATGTCCTTCTTCTGGCACATGCTACCACCCCAGTGAGTGACACTGCCACTCTCGGCCTTGGTGACTTGGCAGTGGCAGACGAAGCAAGAGTCCTTGCTTTGGCCGTATTTGTTCAGGCACTTTCCATGGCCTGTGCAGTTGCCAGTAGCTTCCATGCAGCTATCCTCCGAGGTAAAGCATACAGCTTTAATGGGGTTCGAAGGCTTCGCAGGCGTGGTAGAGGTTTCGGCCGGTGACTCGGCTGTCTCTTCAATAGACGAGATGACGGTCTCAGCCTGTCGACGTCGAAGCTCTTGATCCTTGTCGGACTTGTCCTCAGAGTCGACGTCGACGGGGAGGAAAACCAGGATGGTCTGTAGTTCGCCTGACTCGGCGAGCTTCTGAAGCTTGGGAAGCTCGTTTAGTAGGGTAGTGGGGTGGTCACCATCCTTATCGCGTCGTTAGAAAATGACTCGGTAGGATAGAAATGAAAGGGCTTAGTTACCTGGGACCTGCTGTATGACGCATAAGCAGATTGACCGTTAAAACACTTCTCGTCCAAGGCAGCAATCTCGCTCAGGGGACACTCGGGCATCTTGGCGAGGACATTTGTGAAGACCTCGGGATGCCCGCCATTCTCCTTGCTAATATCCGTGGTGAAGTCGGGCTGTGTGTTAAAAAGCCAGCCAAAGAACGATTCGTATTCGAAGGAGGGCATTCCATCAATGGTAATAGCGAGCTGGCGCGGCGTCGCGGTCTTCTCATCGGAGAGCAATGGCGCAGGGGCCTTTCCATATTTGTTCATTAGAGAGACGACACGCCCTTCATCGTCGGAGGCTGTGAGATCGCGAAATGAAAAGTCCTGTCCCTCGGGGGCGAGGCGCTGGTAGAGGATGAGACGGGCTTCGCTGGGGGTGATACTCGTCGTAGGCTCGATGTGATGGGATCCTCGGAGGATGTAAACTTTGGTACCGTCAGCGGCGGGTTGTTGAGATGCAGCAGCAATGCCTGCAAAGGCTGCACTGAGCCCAATGTTGAGCTTCATTTTTGATGCGGATTGATGAAGCTTGGTTGTCTTGAGGCTGAAGACCAGGCTGAGATAGCTTAACGTCGCAAGCTTGATACAGGCAACGCGAATCCGGGATGATGCACGTGTTGGGTTGCGGCCGGGTCTGGAGTTGTTCCATCCGTCATACAGTGCGTCAGCCCCCCAATTAGAGCTTTACAGTGGCGATTAAAACAGTGTCTAGGGTATTTAGCACGGTCTCGCCCATTACACTACCTTACCTAGCAAGCTAATCACAACCGTGAGACAGCAGTTTAGCTGCAATAGTTGTCGACATTGTCACGATGCATGTCATTCCTTGAATCACTAATTCAGCAGCGAGACCAATCGCATCTTTTTTTCTTACAACCTGAGCAATTTTTATTCGGTGTCGTCGTCCGTGGTAGCGGCAGAGGAGGCGACATGTTAGCTCGGCAAACTGTTCTGCGACAAGCAGCTCTCCCCACGACGAGATTCCGAACCCAACGATTCGTCGCGAGCCAGATCCGACCTCTTAACAGGCAAATATCGTTCTTGCCGTGGCGTCAAAGGCAATCGAATCCTATACCGGTCTACTTCTCTAAGCCAAATCCTTCGACAAGCGCCAATAGGGTGAACCCAGTCTACAATGGAAGCGCGAACCAGGCGGGGTCCGAGGATGTCAAGAGAGGACTGAGAATAGTGAAATGGACTATCTTCCGACTCCGACTCCGGTATGTCTGGCAGAAGAATCTGTCATGGTTGAGCGAACCATGATGCTAACACTTTGCGAAGCCGTGCGATCTTCACGACTATTGTGCTCTATGCCTGTTGGCAAATCTTCATCGCCGTTGTATTCGATCCCATATTCGACTGGGCTGACGCAGAATGGGAGGCACTGTCTGAAAAAGAGAAGGAAGAAGCCGAGGCACTCCACGACCCTGACGAACCGTTGATATTTCTCCCTTTCCCCTTCACAACCACAGAAGTTAAGCAACCTCCATATCGGGGTTCGGACCCCGAGTGGCAAACATTCGTCAAGGTCAGCCAGGATAAGAAGCTCCTTCAGGAGATCAAGAGTAAGTGAAGCTATTCTGAGGAGATTTCACGTTCTGACTCATGCATAGGTGGTCTGGCAAACGAGATCAAGCGTGGCGTTGAGCGGAACCCTGCCTTCAATAAGCTTCTTGGTGGAGAAATTACCGTGAGGAAGTACTGGCTCGATATAATCTTCCCGCCTGCTCCTCCACCGATACACTATGTCTCCGGGTGAGTTTTCAACCTAGACGTGATATGCGCTGGCTAATTCGATGAAGAATCATGATCGATGAGGAGGGCATTTTCTGGGGTGATCGACCCATCGACTCAATTGCTGCTAGCTTTCTTGCTAAAGCACTTTACCCCAAAGCTCTTGCTATGGGTTGCTGGACCTTTGTCAGTTTCTTAACGAAACAAGTAGCGTTGGATATCTCAAAAGCGATCGGTTTAAGCGAACCTGATACCCCAGCATCTGGCTGGCACCAACCTGTGCCAGTGGGAAACCTCCCTGGCATAATTCCGCCCCCTGCTGCCACCAGAGCAGCAGTCCAACATGACCCCAAGGCACATACCGCACATCTTCCCCCAGTCTTCAACGAGATCATCAGCGCTGCATTTGGTCCAGACGCGAAACTTGATCCTCGTCTTCAAGCTGCTAGTATGGCTGGTGCTCTCGCCTTTCTACGCTATTGGAAGCCTACCAAGAGTCTGCCTAGTAGGGGATGCATTCGAGTCGATGGTATTGTCGAACTCAAGGGAAAGACAGCGGTTATGGCAGTTCTCGTTGCGGGTTACTACGATCCCAAGACACGTCAGTACGTAGCTGTCCAGACTATGCTCAAGCACTTGATGCAGCTGAGACAACGGCCTGCGCCTGGGTAGACTTGTATCATAAGACAAACTAAATTTCGGAAATTATGCAGGGCTTGGCATGGCGTGGCGCATGGAACAGGTTTGGCTTGAGATACCATAGGAGATTTAGAATATCAGCGTTTGATATTACTTTGTTCTACCCTACCCACTTAACCTGTGCCGTGAACTGTTAAATGCTCCCTATAAGCCTATTCCTCAAGGCTAATCCACAAAGAAAAGAAGAAACGCATCCGTATACCGCCTAACACCAGTACCATCCCACGCCTTCCGATATCCTGCTCATAAAAGGCATCGTTGGGTATTGTTCGCACTTGCAAACTTTTCCCTCATCCAATTCAAGGAACTAGTTGCCAACACTATATTTAGTAAACGTTCTTGGAATTGCCCATGCAGATGCCTGCTTTCCCCCATGCCCTAACTGATGACGTCGGTAGTGTTAATTCCTAAGGACGTTGATCGAGATGGTGAAAACCTCTAATTCAACCTCCGGACCGCCTAGAACACGCTCATCTCGTGGAATGGCAGCAATGAGATGTGACTCGAGTACGTTGAGCCCTGGATGTAGCATTGCCTCGAAGGCGCGCTCGTGAGGTTGCTGGCCAGGAGCTTGGTGATGGATGGGCTTGAGCGGTTGCTTGTTGACCAGTGTCCAGAGGCTGTATTGTCTGTTCTGTAAATGGCTGGGTATTGCGGTGACTGCGAGAATACGGGTGAGATGAGGAGGCAAATTAAGAGTGGCAGACTGTTCCATCTCCTTGGGGTTGGGTCTGATGGTTGCCAGTATAGGACTGTGTGATTGAAGAGTGGGATGAACCTGGATCTTCATACTCTCAATGAGAGCATCGTCGATACCTAAAATTGTAAGTGCTTGCCGCGAGTAAATGTGTCTGGGCGAATTACCTTTCCCAGCGCGACGGGGATGCTTCTGGTCCATATAGCCATTAACAAGCGGATTGGTGATCGGTTGGGGCGGCGGCACAGGTACAGGAGCAGGGACAGCAACGGGAGCAGCCGCAGGGACCGCAGGAGTCGCTTGACTAGGTGCAGCGCTAGGCGGTTGTGACGGAACTGCTGGTGACGCCCTTGAAGTCTCCTCTGGCTTAAGAGCACTCTGTACGGACGGACTAGGAGATGGCACGGCAGACAACGATGTGCTTCTGGCCTTTTCCAATTGAGGGTTGACAGCTTGAGCAGGCGTTGAAGTGCGTGCTGTGCCGTTCACTGTCTGGCCGTTTGTCATTGCCATCTTTGCCTGAGCTGGCGCTGGTGAATCCGCAGAATCTCGCTGGCCTCCAACATGGATGGTGATCTTCTTGGGCCCAGGTGTAGGCGTCTCACTGGATCCGCCAACCTTTAGTTTAATCTTTGGTTGAGAAGGTTCAGTTACAACGGCTTGTGCTTGTTTTAACTGATCATAAAAGAATTTCTGCAACACGGTTAGAAATGTTGATGACGAAAGCAAGAAGGTACTGACCTCGAGATCCTGCGCAACCAAGTAGATTTCACTACCTTCTTCATTGTAAAAGTACGCGTTGGTCCACAATAGCTTTGCCTTCTCCTCAAAAGCGGCCCATGACTTGAAATCGCTAACTCCAGTTGAGCCACCACGACCGTGGAAACCCTTGACTGCCTTCTGCAGTTTTCGGATCGACATGGGGTCACTGATAACCTTGAAATACTCTTTGAGAGACCGAGGCGGTAGGTTGATGAAAGCTTCGAAGTAAGGGCCATCGTATCCAGGATCTTCGCGTCGGATAAGCTCCTCGATGATCTTTTCCTGGGCTTGCTGAAATGACAATCCCTTGTAGGGTACATCTTCGTAGACGTGGTCTGGCTTTGCGGCTGGCGCTGCTGGCTTCGGGGTCTCTTTGCCTCGAGTGGACGCCCTTCGACCAGGTGTACGACCAGGTGTTCTCCGCTTGAGTGTAATGGTTCGTCTACGAGAGCTTGGCGCCTCTTCTTCTTCTTCTTCCTCTTCCTCGTCCTCTTCATCCTCATCTTCTTTTTCTTCCTCGGGCTCATCTTCATCTTCGTTCTCGTCATCATTCATTTCTTCGTCCTCGTTGTCTTCATTGGCCTCCTCCTCATCATCCGGGAACGGGGTCGGCACAGCCTGATAACCTCTGACATGATATGCCGGATTTTTCTTGGTCATGTAATTGCTGACAGCCTTTCTCAATCGTTCCGCATCTTCGTATATCTCGGTTGCTCGAGGGTGGAACTCCTTCGCGTTGCTGATCATGCGCTTGAAGTAGCCCTCAAGCTGGGACAAGTTCTCGAATTCGCCATCATTCAGTTTTTGCTCGATCATGGATAATGAGATGGGCATGCGTGTTTGTTCGTAATAGTCTGCATTTTCTTCGCGAGGTGGAAGTTCTTCAAAATTGGTAGCGACAAGACGCCCACTATAGGATGAGTCAATACGGTAACGATAATCGGAAATCGGGTTGGAATTACGCTTTGTCGGCAGTTTTTCGAATATGCTCAAGGAACGATAGGCCATATGTAGTTGTGGATTCTCGAGATTCGCCTTTGGAAAGATCGAAATCGCCCTGCAACGCAGTGTCAGTCAATAAATCGATGGGGTGATAGCTAAGTGACAGAGGTTGTCGAGTTGTGTCATGGGGGGATCTGCGCGAACTGGAAAGATTCAGATTCGCGAGAAGCGACAGGTCGGACTTACAGTAAGTCTGCGACGCTTAGAGCCTCTGTCGTCGTTGTCGACCGCTGCAGCACCATTGGCTTTGCGTTTGCTCTCCATTGTGATTATAATCGATAGGGTCGCCTAATCGAGCGCATCAAAGATGATTACGGTATATTTTCCCCGATGCCTTCGCTGGGACGCAATTGAGGATCGCAAACCTGGAGATCGAGGTCGTTTGCGACGGCGCTTGTGTGGATTTTGACGCGTGCGATCCAATGGTCGCGTCAAGCAAGATACCAAGTCCAGGGTCGGACCTCAAAAAAACAGGGCAGAAATTGGAGGATGCACTGCATAAAATGCACCATTCGAATGTTTTGCAGGCTCCCGTTTTGCTTTAGGCTATCGCGGGTCTATGCAGGCCCTACAAATGCTCCGATGCTGGCGATTTTGATGTGGTGGTAAATGGGGCTGGCTTCTTTGGAGCTGAGGGCGAGGTTTGGAGGCACATTCAATGGATTCAATGCTAGTGGTGGTCCGTGGAGGTGCAGTATCCACTTGGACCTACCAGGAGCTATTATGTGTGCCTGAAAACGGATTAAGGCAACAAGGCAGACAATGATAATGGAATTCAACAATATTGAATGCCAACAGGCAATAAGGACTGTTACTCGGCACAATTCATACATTTTACATTGATAGCGACGACTGTGCGGTGCTATTGTTCTCGCAAGCTTCGAGTCTCATGCATCGAACTTGAAAAACACCCATGATGCGAATTAAAGCAGATCGCCTACGCTATGATCGCTCCATATGTATCATGAAACCTGTGCTTTGAACAATATGAACAGTCAAATCCCAATCGATCTGATGATTCTCGGTAGCAGATAGTTAGCGAATAGCTGAATGCGCTTGTCTTTGAGGAGACTATGGGTATTTCAATTCCATGCTTTTTAAGCACTCAACTCATACCTAGCCAAGGACAAGTATATAATTGTCATGATGAACACAAAGTTGCTATGAGGGGCAGCTTTACTCTGTAGAGGCTAGGAGTCCCCGGGGCGCAAGAAGACTTCTGACGTTAAATTGAGGTGCTAAAAATATTCAGTCCGGGATGCTCTGAATCTATACAAAATTATGCCAAGTTTACCTAGGTTCATTCAAGGCTTTTTGTCACCTACCTAGGATAGAGGTCCTCAGTTTTATTGCACCCCCTGGAGCCCAGTCAAACGGGGCACTGCTAAGCTCAATGCTCCCATTAGGTATTCAACCCCACATTGACCTCATTATCAAGATTCAGATCTCATCTCAGGGACTGTAACCTTTACAACTTCACTTCACCAACACAGGAATTGAAGCACTTAGACAAGATGGCTGACACACCAAGCGAACCACCTCCTGACTATGATAAGTCCACCGCCACTCAGGGCACCCCTCAGCGACCCTTACGGAAAGGTCCTATACCGCTAGAACTCCCAATTCTTAAGCACCTCAACGGCAAGAGAGTGATTCTTGCATCTGCCTCACCACGAAGAAAGGCATTACTACAACAGGTGAGCCAAAGACATGGGGTTAACACCAATGGCCTTTTTCTCATGATACATAGTTTGGCCTCACAAACCTCGAGATTCTCCCATCCACCAAACCCGAGAATCTCGACAAAGCTGCACTAGGTCCTTACGAGTATGTAGCTGCAACTGCTCACCAAAAGTGCATGGACGTTTATACTACTGCACTTGAAGTTCATCTGAAATCCATACCGGATCCTGATCTCGTTATCGCTGCGGACACTGTTATCGTTACCAAGGATGGTCGAATTCTAGAGAAGCCTCGAAGCGAAGCTGATCACATTCGCATGCTCAAGCATTTGCGAGACCAGAGAATGCACAAGGTCTTGACGTCGATTGTAGTAATTGCACCAAGAGAAGACGCGAGACATCCGGGCTATGTCATCGATACCTACACAGAAGAGACCAAGGTGTACTTCTTGAGTGAATCTGACGGTCTTCCTGACGATGTGATTGAGGCCTATGTCAAGACTCGTGAGGGCGCGGATAAGGCCGGTGGCTACGCTGTTCAAGGCGTGGGCGGCATGTTGCTTGTTGAGAAGCTCGACGGAAGTGTTGACAACGTCGTTGGACTTCCAGTGAGAAAATGCATGGCTATGGCGGAGAAAGTTATATTCAGACAGGAAGAGGAGGACTTTGAAGGTGAAGGCGTGGAAGAGGATTAGATGTTGAGCAAGAATAGAGGATACCAGGAAAATAGAATGGATACTCATGCAATTTAACGAGCTACACAAATGTGGCTTGAGCAGCCCCCATTTTGTCAATCATTTATTTCTCCCTGGCTTCTTCTCAGCTATTTGGGTTTCCAGAAATGTTCTTTGAAGCTGATAGGTGCAAAATGGTTCTCTCCCGTCATCGTGGACCCAAGGTCTCAGCACCAGAGGACACATGATACTGGCTCCTCATGGCTACTTAGCTGAGCTAACAGACAGATCACATTAACAAGGACAAGCTGCTTTTGTAGTATTGAGCAACTGAGTTTAAGCCTCATGTATATACTGAGAACGGTAGAATGAAGTTACATAATTACATAATTATCATGACTAAATCAAAACATTGGTGATGCAGATCAAGAACAACCAAACCCAAGACATGATTCAATCCCCAAACCAGGAGAACGCCGCCTTCCATATTGGATGTCAATATGCAAGGACCAGGCAGACTAAGGGTCCTGTAGTATCATTTTCACATGGAAAATCCGGGGCAGCACCCTTGCACGTCATTTGCGACCTACATAGTATCCTCTCTCACATGAAAGTTGTATGCGCATCTTGACAAATTTTGCACGTTTGTTTGTTTACGTCTCACTACCGTTCCCTCATTAATCACTACTCAGCAAAAAGATGTCGTCTCCAAATAACAAGTCTCCCGCCAATGGCGATGCCGGTGCCGCCGATGAGAAACCGCGACTCACTGAAGAGGAAAAGAAGCAGAACCATATCGCATCTGGTATGTAAACTGTTTACACGTGATATTTGCTGTCGCATGATATCTGAGATACTCTTGAGTGTTCTTTGAGATGGTATTTGCTAATGCGCATCAATCAGAGCAGAAGCGACGCCAAGCGATTCGTGAAGGCTTCGATCGCTTAACTGAACTGGTGCCTGGCTTAGAAGGACAGGGGAGATCCGAGGGCCTGGTTCTGAAGCGGACAGTTGACTATATGCGTGAGCAGCTCTCAGAGAGGCAGGCTATGGTTGATCGCATTGAACAGGCTGGCGGTGATGTCGATGAGAAACACAAGAGGTGAGTCGGTGACCACTTTGCCATCAACGAACCAGGTCCTGACTGTCTTTCAAGGGCGCTATATCAACAGGCGGCGAACCCAGGTCGTACCAGGGGATGATTATGCACTTGTATGGTCTTCACAGCTACCGCACGTCAAGAGCCCGAACAGACTCAACGACGTTGGGCATTCAACCGATGAATCTGATTTACTGTCGCATATCAGCACCTGACCATCCCAAGTCGCGATAGCAACGAGCCGCGCCACAATGGCAGCGCCGCGCTATCAGCATGACTACGGAAGAAAGACTGATATAGATAGAGACTATTGTATCATACAAATGTGTTTTTACGTTATTATTACATGACATCGCATATCTATCTGTGTCTAGGCAAATGTGTCTACCATGGTTTTGAACCGCTCACGTACTTCCTCTGGTGACAGCATCTCCTTGCCCAGCGAAACCCGCCTGTTCTCGACATCCTTCTGTCCGATCACAAGAATTTCACCATAGTTCTTCTCTCTTGCCTCCTTGATTTTCGCACCCAGAGGTCGTGCACTATCATCTATGTCAACCGACAGCCCAGTTGGTCGAAATGCGTTGCCCTGACTAGGGAGTGTGCCGTTCTCAAGCTGCTCGTAAAGTTGGTCGTTGTTACCAAGCAGCACACCGCGCACTTGCCCTGCCCATTCGACGACATGTTCGGCGGTATTGATAGTGAGAATGATGACTTGGCGAGGGTTCAACCAGAAAGGCCACTTGCCATTGTACTTCTCAATCAGGAGAGCCATGAGACGCTCAACTGAGCCCAAGACAGCGCGGTGAATCATGACAGGGCGCACGGGGCCGTACACATCGAGTAGCGAAGCATCCGTGGTTGTCTCGCCTCTCGCTTCATATTCTGGCGCAGGGGCTTGATATTCAAGTTCAAATCGCTTGGGTAGTTGAAAGTCAAGTTGAATGGTCGCCGTCTGATGCTCCTTTCCATCCGAGTCTGTGAGCACGATATCGATCTTGGGTCCGTAGAAAGCACCATCTCCCTCATTCACACCCCATTCCATGCCTGATGCATCCAGAGCTCGCTTCAAGGCGTTCTCAGCCTGGTCCCACTCCTCTTCGGTGCCAATGTAGTGATCCTTTGGCCGTGTGGAGAGTGCAAGTCGATAGTTTGAGCCAAATCGCAGAACAGTGTACACCACCTTGACAAAGTCTAGAGTCTTCTTGATCTCCTTCTCAACTTGAATAGGTCGGCAAAAAATGTGTCCGTCATCCTGGTGAAAACGTCGGACACGAGTGAGTCCACTCAATGCGCCGGAAATCTCGTTTCGATGCAGAGGACTAAAGTCGGCATATCGAATTGGAAGATCTCGGTAACTACGGTTTTTGGACGCGAAAATGAGGCAGTGGCCGGGGCAATTCATGGGTTTTAGACCATAATCACCCTCTTCCTCCTCGTCTGGCTTCAGATCCTTCTGGTCACTCCCACAGCATCCGCCATGTTGCGCAGGCGGCGGTTCTGTATTCCCTCTTACAGCATACATGTCGTCGGCATAATTTTCCAAATGACCTGACTTGGCCCATAGTGACTTTTTGTAGATGGTCGGCGTGATAACCTCCTCGAAGCCATATCGTACGTATTGTTTTCGGAGAAAGTCCACAAGTCGATTGAAGATTCGCGAGCCATTCGGTAGGAATATGGGGGAGCCAGGGCTGTAGATCGAGCTGATAAAAAGTTCTTGCTTGGTGCCGAGTTTACGATGGTCGGGAGGTTCTCGCTTTTCGGACTTTTCAGAATAGAATCGGCTGCGGGAGACGCATTGCGGGCAAGTCCATGGTCTTCTTAGAGATGTATTGAAGGCCGCTCGGGCAGTCCTTGAGCGGATCATGGCCAGTTCAATACGCAATGGCGCGTGACAGATCGATATTCAATGCTTTTGCGGAAATATGACGATCCAAAATTCACAAACCCACCTGAAATCGCAGGACGCCTGCCAGCTCGTTGCTGTTTAAAGCCTAGCGGACACTCACGGGCCGCTATTCTTAGCGGTCAGCTATCGCCTATAGGCAGTCGGTGGACATGTCCAACTCGTGTAGCGGTTAACAATATAATACAGGACGATGTATTTACATATAAACTTGTAATGAATACAATCGTGCTGACGGCTTTGGTAGGTCAGATCATGTGTAATTCTATACATCAAAGGTGAGATCATAGGTGAATGTACAGTCCCTTTGTTTTATAGTGGTTATAGACATTGTGGCATGGGTCTCTGGGTCTTTGTGTGACCCCTCCCCAACGCTAACAACCTAATGGAACCCCGCCATCCATCCATACAAACAGAGCAACTGCGTGAGCATTGGATCTCAACTGGCCAAAATTCACGACTCTTCTTCATACCGTAATTTCTCTTCGCACTCACACAACGAGACTCTCGCTCTCCTAATACTCTGTTACCCTATTTAAGCTCCTCAAGTCCTAACTAATCCTGCCGCTCCCACGGACATAAGCCGCTGCTGGCTCTCACCATGAGCTTCGCTATCGAAGTCCCAGGCGATGCGAATCCGCTGTCTTTGCAGTCGCTGTACCAGACACTGCAGTCAGCCACTTCAACCGATTATGCGCAGCGTCAGACGGCAGGGCAACAACTAACATCATGGGAGCTCCAACCTGGCTACTATTCTTCGTTGCAGGTGAGCCTCTGGCCGAGATCGAGACTCTTTTCAGGGCACTAACAATCTCGCAGGCTGTCTACCTCGACAAGTCCCTCGCCTACGAAGTCCGATTTCTTGCCATTATTCAGCTCAAGAATGGTATTGACCGCTATTGGCGGTTGTTTAACCAGGTCAAGAACAGTATAAAACCAGAAGAGAAGAGCTTGATACGCTCGCGGCTATTCCAAGGCTCTATCGAGGAAGAGCACACCAACCTTGCTCTACACAATGCTCTGGTGGTCGCGAAGATCGTTAGAATCGATTATCCTGGCGAATGGCCAGATGCTATGGGCAATATCATCGAACTCCTCCGTTCATCGCGAAATGGTAACCAGAGACATCTTCATGGCATCCTCGAGATTCTACTGCGAGTGGTGAAGGAGCTGGGAACCGCACGAATGCGAAAGAACCAGACCGCTCTACAATCAGTCACCCCTGAGATTGTTCACGTTCTAAGCGAGGTCTACTCAGAAAAGTCCCAGGCATGGATGGGCTTCCTTACTGGTGGGCCGGGAGGTCAGGAGGAAGTCAACCTGGCTATGCTCAACAGCTTACTTGCTCTTCGAGTTCTTCGTCGGCTCGTTATAATGGGATACGAGCGCCCCCACAGTGACAACACAGTTGAACAATTCTGGACGCTGTCACAGACCCAGTTCGGACAGCTCCTCAACCTTGTTAGCCATGACTCGGCAGTCCCACCAAATTACCAAGAAGTTGTTGGCAAACACTTGCTCCAATTTACCAAGCTGCACATTGACATGGCGGAGCAGCATGCCGCCAGCTTTGTGTTTCTTCCCAACTCCATCCCATTGGTGCAATCATATTGGGAGCTGGTTGCGAAGTTTGCAGAGGTATTCGACAAGTCTGGCGGTATCAGGCAAGGCCCATCAGAGACGGGATCTGCAAAGTCCAAGGTCGAGGGCCCTGTATTAGAGAGACTGGCGCTCAAGGGACTTCTCCTTCTCAGATCATGCGTTCGAATAGGGTTCCAGCATGTCCAGACTTTCAGATGGCGAAGCCCAGAAACAAAGGCCGAGCAAGAAAAGGCTAAGAACCTGATCAAATCGGAACTTTTGAAACCTGATCTCGTCATTCAAATTGTTAACTCCATCATCACCCATCTCTTTGTCTTCCGTAAGTCGGATCTTGAAGGTTGGGAGGAAGATCCCGAGGAGTGGGAGCAACAGGAGCAGAGTGAAGGAAATGCTTATGAGTGGGAAGTAAGGCCATGTGCTGAAAAGCTGTTCCTCGATCTTCTCACACACTACAAGGACATGCTAGTCCCTCCCCTGTTGTCTTATTTTCAGACAGCACAAGATCCACAGGCCGACATTGCTACCAAAGAGGCAGTGTATACTGCAATGGGCCTCGCCGCTGCTCATGTTCATCATGTATATGACTTCGATGCCGTTCTGGCTTCAACGATTGTCAATGATGCGCGCCTACAAGGCGGCCTCTGCAAGGTACTGCGGCGAAGAATCGCCATCCTTGTGAGTCAGTGGGCTCCTATCAAGCTCGATGATTCAAGTAGGCCGATTGTATACCAAATTTACCGGCATTTCCTCAACCCCGAGGATGAGACCAACGATGTGGTTGTCAGAATTACAGCTGCCCGACAACTACGATGGATTGCCGATGAGCTTGACTTCAACGTGGACGCTTTCCTGCCATACACTTCTGATGTTTTATCACAGCTCATCAACCTTGTTCAAAGTGTTGATGTCGATGAGACTAAGTTGGCTATCCTTGAGTCCATCAGAATCCTGGTTACGCGAATGGAAGAGCAAGTATCCCAGTTTGGAGATCAGCTCATGTCGGCTCTTCCTACGGTTTGGGAGAACTCAGGGGCTGAAGAGTACATGATCAAGCAAGCGGTAACATCAATTTTCGCAGCCCTGGTTATGAGCATGGGCCCCGATTCACAACGATATCAGCATTTCATGTTGCCACTCCTCTCTGAAGCAGCCCGCCGAGGATCAGACCTACATCTCCACTTAATCGACGAGTCTTTGGAATTGTGGAATAATATTCTCATGCAGAGCTATGCTCCCTTGGCTCCCGAGTTGGTAAACATTGCAGAACTTGTTTTGCCACTACTCGAGTATGATAGTGAGACGGCCTCACTGGCTCTAACAGCTGTTGAATCCTATATCCTGCTTGCTCCTGCTTCTATGCTAGAAGACCGCCTACGTCGTCCGACATTGAACGCCTTATCTAATATCTTAGATTCAAAGAGCCGAGAACAAGTTCGTATGGGTACCAGTTGCATTGAGAATTTCATCAGGGCCGCTGTAGAGCTTGGCGGCTCGACGGGTGTTTCGGTCATATTACAGGATATGGTTGAAATCGGCTTTATGAACAAAATCCTCGGAAACCTACATGACGCTTGGGAATCACACCAGACCACAGGTCCCAACCGTAAGGTCAGCAAGCTCAGTACTATCACTGAGACAGATTACTTTGCCATCCTAGGACGCTTGGCTCTCGCTGAGCCCACACTCTTCAGTCAGATGCTTACCAATATGGGCTCGCTTGATCAAGTATGGGCCTGGCTCTCATCTGAGTGGTTCTCACATATGTC